AGAGGTTACCTAAGTACAACAAGCTGTCGATTCCCGAGGCTCTAGAAACTGCCAAACAAAGACTCGCTGCCCTGGCCACCCGCCTAAAGAGATACAAGGGAGAAGCAGAAGCCAGGAGAATATATATATATATATATATGCTTGTTGTATACACATAGAGAGAGAGAGAGAGAGAGAGAGACACAAGTGGCAGCCTGGTTTGACATGACTGATGTTTTATGAGCCAGTTTTTTTTTTTTTAGTTTTTTGAAAATAGTGAATGTTGTGAGTTCTCTGGTGATCTGAGGTTCAGAGTTCCTCTCCTGAGATGCTCTGAATGCAAAGGCTCTTTGACTAAAAGCAGTTTTACCCAGAGGAACGACTCCTCTGGCCTACCATCGTGTTCCTGTCAGTGTTTTTCTGATCTTTACAAACTGACTGAGTGGAGGAAATGACAGGCAATGAATTATTTTATAAAACAGACACAGGTTTGCTTACTTGATTACCGTATTTTCACGACCATAAGGCGCATTGTACTAAAAGGCGCAGTCTCAGTAATGTTTGCCATTTCTGTATTTAACACACACATAAGGCGCACCGGACTATAGGGCGCAGGTTTTATATACAGGTACATGTCCTCTACTACGTTTAAATACCTCTACTGCGTATTTAAAAATAGAGCAGGAGCAAAACTGAGTATGATTGTGCTTTATTCATGTATTTATTACAAAGTATTAATCAAACCCATCAAAGTCACCATCCTCTGTTTCTGAATTAAACAGCTTCTTTGCTGTCAGAGTCACTTTCCGTGCCGGGCGGCTCCTCGGAAATGATGCCGGCTTTTGCGAAAGCTCGAACAACAGTGCCAGCAGACACGTTAGCCCAAGCATCAACAATCCATCCGCAAACTGTGCTGTAACTTGCCCGGCGCTGCCTTCCACATTTCGTGAAACTTTGGTCTCTCCGTCGTTCATCCATCGCTCCCACGCCGCTCGCAGCCTTACTTTGAACGGCCGGTCCACACCGATGTCGAGCGGTGGAAGTTCCTTTGTCAGACCCCCGGGATAACAGCACAGCGTTCATTTGTTTCACCTTGTTTTTCACACCAGCTTTGAGATGGGCACGCATGGATCCACCGCTCGAGTCTTTCCTCCAACTCGGGCCACCTCGCCTTATGTCCGCGGAAACTCAGCTGCGTCTTCTTCACCTGTCGGAGTTCGTTTTCCATCTTCCTCCACTTGCGAATCATCGATTCATTAATCTTGAATTCTCTCGCGGCTGCTCAATTTCCATGTTCCTCTGCATAGCTAATAGCCTTCAGTTTAAACTGTGCTTCATAGGTGTCTCTCTTTGCCATTTTCAGGGTTGTTAAGATAACAATGTTCTGCATAAAGCATATACCTGTTCTTTTATACAGAATCCACACCCACACTTCCCCCTTTAACGTTCTCATGGTGGTCTCAACAACGTCCGCAGTAACACATAGGGCGCACCGCACTATAGGGCGCGCCGCACATGTTGAGGGGAAAAAAAAGACGTTTATATGCGCCTTATAGTAGTGAAAATACGGTACATTTTCCCAGGTTAAAACGTATGTTTTAGTATAATGGCACAATGGTGATATTTTGATGGTTTTTTTTTTTTTAATCCAAACTGTATATTTTCTGTTTGTAAAGAGATTCTAAACGTTTTAGTGTTTTTTATTTGCCTGTGACCAGGCTGTAAGATGATGTGGGACATTTTAGCTGCCTGGAGTTTGATCTTATGAAACGGAAATTTGTAAATTTTAATTTGACTCTATTGCACACCTTTCCTATCTGGGATTTAAAAGTTAGTTTAGAGTCTATTAAGATGCCTAAGAATTTGAATTCTGACACAACTTTTATTTTTTTTTTGTATGGAGTTCCACTGGAGGTCCACTGTAGTAGACATGAGACACCCAAAAATAAAAACTTTTTTTTTTAAAGGGGCCTCACAGAGATATCCGAATTGTAAAAAATATATATTTGGAATATTTTCCTGGTAGTCAGGAATATGGAGCAGCCTGAAAGCAGAAGAAAGGTTTGAGCAGAGTGGGACCATTTTGATCTCATTTTAGTTTTTATCACCTTGTTTCATCCTGTTTCTTTCTGATTTCACTCAACTTAAAAGATTTAAAATGAACTCTTACTGTTGCTAATGACTCTTACTGTTTTTACTCTTTGAAGATATGAAATATCGTTTTATATCAATTTATATAAAAGTATACACTCACCGGCCACTTTATTAGGTACACCTGTCCAACTGCTCGTTAACACTTAATTTCTAAGCAGCCAATCACATGGCGGCAACTCAGTGCATTTAGGCATGTAGACATTGTCAAGACAATCTCCTGCAGTTCAAAGCGAGCATCAGTATGGGGAAGAAAGGTGATTTGAGTGACTTTGAACGTGGCGTGATTGTTGGTGCCAGAAGGGCTGGTCTGAGTATTTCAGAAACTGCTGATCTACTGGGATTTTAACACACAACCATCTCTAGGGTTTACAGAGAATGGTCCGAAAAAGAAAAAACATCCAGTGAGCGGAAGTTCTGTGGGCGGAAATGCCTTGTTGATGCCAGAGGTCAGAGGAGAATGGCCAGACTGGTTGGAGCTGATAGAAGGGCAACAGTGACTCAAATAACCACCCGTTACAACCAAGGTGGGCAGAAGAGCATCTCTGAACGCACAGTACGTGGAACTTTGAGGCAGATGGGCTACAGCAGCAGAAGACCACACCGGGTGCCACTCCTTTCAGCTAAGAACAGGAAACTGAGGCTACAATTTACACAAGCTCATGGAAATTGGACAATAGAAGATTGGAAAAACGTTGCCTGGTCTGATGAGTCTCGATTTCTGCTGCGACATTCGGATGGTAGGGTCAGAATTTGGCGTCTACAACATGAAAGCATGGATCCATCCTGCCTTGTATCAACGGTTCAGGCTGGTGGTGGTGGTGTCATGGTGTGGGGAATATTTTCTTGGCACTCTTTGGGCCCCTTGGTACCAATTGAGCATCGTTGCAACGCCACAGCCTACCTGAGTATTGTTGCTGACCATGTCCATCCCTTTATGACCACAATGTACCCAACTTCTGATGGCTACTTTCAGCAGGATAATGCGCCATGTCATAAAGCTGGAATCATCTCAGACTGGTTTCTTGAACATGACAATGAGTTCACTGTACTCAAATGGCCTCCACAGTCACCAGATCTCAATCCAATAGAGCATCTTTGGGATGTGGTGGAACGGGAGATTCGCATCATGGATGTGCAGCCGATGAATCTGCGGCAACTGTGTGATGCCATCATGTCAATATGGACCAAACTCCCTGAGGAATGCTTCCAGCACCTTGTTGAAACTATGCCATGAAGAATTGAGGCAGTTCTGAAGGCAAAAGGGGGTCCAACCCGTTACTAGCATGGGGTACCTAATAAAGTGGCCGGTGAGTGTATAATGGCTCAGTAAACCAGTGTCAGATTATTCTAATAGGCTGCCTGCAGTGATATTTAATCTCCAGCAGGCGTCAGTATTCAGCCACATAGAACCACTACAGTTTTTTTTTTTTATAACAAACTTTATTTACAAATAAAGAATATACAATTGCAGACAGTAGTATGCTCAAGGTACTGGGGTAACAGAACTACAGGATTTGCATTTCCCATTAACAAAATTATTGAAGTCACACCAAAAAACTTTGCTCAAAGAGCATTCCCAAAAAAGGTGGGTTAATGTTTCTTGTTCGATGTGACAGAAGGAACAAAGTGGATCAATATTGGGAATATATTTGTTCAGTACTGAATAAACAGGATAACCCCTGTGTAACATTTTAAGGGACACTTCCCGTATTTTATTAGAAACAAAAAATTTTCTTGGCAATAACCATGTTTGTTCCCAATTGATATCTGAAAATAGAATGTTCCAAAAAAAGGTTGAGGCAGGTTTGCTCACAGTATTCCTCTGGATTATTTCTCTTATATGTTTATTTCCAGCCTGGATTTGATAATGCATTCCAGATTTCCTTTCCTATCAATGATAATGGTCATACTGTAGGGTTACTGAAAATATTAAAAAAGTCAACTGTTCTTTAATTTTAATTCAGTTTAATATGGGAAAAATGTCAGAATTCTGAGATTAGAGTCTGTTAGGATAATTATCATTGAAGATGTGTGAGTTTATCACACCCTGCTATGGGCTGCCTGTTGCGCGTCAGAACCGACATTTTAATCTAATTAGGACAATTCCTCTGTCTGGATATCCAGTTATTACAATTAGTTACAGAATTCAGACTTCATATTATACTGCAATAAAATGTAAAAATCAGTTCACTTTCTTTTTTTTTTGTCAGTGGCTCTAATCTTCTTCCATATACTGGGCACCTAATAGCTACAATTGGAGGAATCTGGATCCTGCCCAGTCTCTCTTCTTTAGCTTATACAATAAAGCTTAACGATTTGGCGTCTTATTGCACGGTTGGGTCGTATTAATGCTAGCTGAACATGTTGATTGCTTTTTGTTCCTGATCCGTCTGGTTTGGAGCACCTGATGACTGTATGCAACGATACTCTATAGAGACTCTGTGCTGCTCGATGTTGCTTCAAAGATAAAGAAGATAAATATTAGAGTTTTCAGCATTTGTCAAAAAATACAGATTAGATACAGTTTTCAAAAGCACCAAACAAAACACAGCATTAGATGGAGAATAACGAGCTGCTGCTGCAAACAGAGATGGAGATGTTCTGCTTCTCTGAGTATTAGAGGACAGACAGGAAGTGCTTCGTGGTGTTATGCCTCTCCCCCACCACTAGAGGCAGCAACACAACCGTTTCATCTTTAAAGGCAGATTGTCGTTGGCTCAGAGTCAGAAGGTCCTTCGGAGAGTCTGAAGGGATCCAGAACGTGAGTCTGACTGGTTAGCAGAACCAGAACAGACAGAACGGAGTTAGAGGTCCACTAGAGAGAACATGTGGAAGAGCTCAGAACTTCTGGCTCTGCAGGATCAAACCGTGTTTCAGGGGTTTGCTTTTCACCAGTGGGGACCAAGGAAGGGGAATCATTGCCCTGCAGCAGACTGATGACCTGTCCAGGGTCTCCCTCACCCATCGCCCACCGACTGCCAGAGATAGGCACCGGCGCCACGGCATCCATGGCGGGCAAATTTGGAGAAGATAGAGGGACGGATGGAATCACTACCATTTCAGACTGCATTGGTGTTTTTTCTTCGTCTGTGTCTGCGTGAAGAGTAGAAGGAGTACGAGACTTTCGTTTCATTTGAACAGCAGCAAAGATGATCAGAACCATCCCCAGAACAGACACACTGATGATCAACGCAATGATTGCATCTGTTCCTAATGTCATCACCCCAAACTTCGGACCTCCTCCCTCCTCTGGTGTCTCCTCACCTGCGGAGCAGTAACAGGTGTTAGCATCAGGCGGCGTCTGAAGCTGTAGGTGGATCTTTGCTCTGCTCACCTGAGACGGTCAGGTTGATGAAGTGTTCGAACTCAGAGGAACTTCCTCCTGGGTTCCTCATCACTATCCTGCACCGGTACGTTCCTGCGTCCTCTGAGCTGACGTTCTGAAGGACGACGGAAAAGTCTCCGTCCTTGATGGACGAAGAGTCTCTCAGCTCCACTCGTCCTCTGAAGGACTCATGCTGGTACTGTCTGTAGGGACGATTTTCTCTGAAGAAGAAGACAAAGTCGTCTTTCTGGAGGTCATTTCTGGTCCAGGTGAGCAGGGTGAGGGTTCCAGGGTGGGACTGCTGGCACTGCAGAGTCACATTCTGTCCAGGTTTCACCATCAGCTGCTGAGGAGCTGAAGAAAAGAGATTTACATCAAGCTCTTCTTGTTCTGTATTTTGTTTTTGTCCAATTTAAAGATGTTAACGTCCTGTTTTCTGTAAGCGTCAGGTAATCCAAGGGTTCAATACCATTGTATGTATTATTAGATGCTGAGGATACGTGTTGTCGACCGTTTTAGGATAAAAGTTTGTAAATTGCTTACATTAGATTGTAAAAATGTAGATTTTATCCTTGATTGCGGTGGTTTTAGCATTAGCATGTGTTCAGTGAACACTATATTAAACAAAGAATAAATTGTACATAAATTTGCTAACATAGCAATATTGTCAGGAGTTAAAAATCAGGTTTTGCTTATTTTTTTTCCAAAAGAAGTGAAAGCTTGATAACAGCGTGACAGATGGAGCATGTCTCTGTGGACGCCTTTCCATTAACCATCAAATTTCACACGAGTAATTGATTATTCCCTCAATGCAAACACTACACTTCAGAAAAACATTTTTTCGATAAAATTTTCACACTTTAATGAGGTTGTTTTTCAGTCATATCGAAATAATTTGCAAAACTGCAAGAGAACCCTTTTTTTTTAAACATCACTGGACTGGTGCCTCGTAAAAGAGGAGAGAAATATCAGCTGTGCTGCTGCCATCAACACCTTTGTTTCTAGATGTTGGAGCTTGGCCTGTTTTCCAGTGTAGTCCTGTTTCTCTGACTGTGACTAACTGGATGTGCTCTCTTCATCCTCTGACATGGGAGCTGGCTCGGAGCTCGTCTGCCTGGCTGTGTGTTTCCTGGACGGGGCCGCCTGTGGAGCTGGTTGACAGTTGCCTTTTGTATCTATGCTTCTATTTCTATGTCTGCTTCTGTCTCCTTGAACCCCAGTGGGCCTCAGCAGATGGCCGCTCACACTGAGCCTGGTTCTGCTGGAGGTTTCTTCCTGTTCAAAGGGAGTTTTTCCTCTCCACTGTCGCTACAAGCATGCTTAGTGTGAGGGATTGCTGAAGAGTCAATGAGTCGATGCAATCAGCTGGTTTTCCTTAGAGAGAATCAATCTGACTGGATGATCTGGTGACATGATGTGTATTGGCGCTATAGAAATAAACTGAATTGAACTGAATTAAGAGCGGGAGAAGTTAGAGGAAGATGTCGCCCACTAGAGCCGTGGCTGAATTATGGAGATATCTCATGTTTAGATGCGCGCTGACATGTTGTTTTCAGAATGATTGCATGAACAAACGTATTCATGCTAAATTTTAGTTGTATTTCCTATTTAATTGAAATAGTGCAGTAGCGACATGGTAGTGATGGGTCAAGCAACGCCGATGCACTAGTGCATGTGTCCATGCACTAAACTCCATTTATAACCGTCTGTCAAAAGAAAATTCTGATCTTTTTCAGTTTATCATTAAATGAATCAAGAAATATGAAACAGCATCAAAGAAAAATAAAGGTTTCGGCTGAGTGGGAATGTTTTAATCTCATATTAGCTCTAATTTTCTTGTTGCGTCCTCCTCTGAGTTATCACTCAACTTACTGACTCTTAGTTTGCTTTTCTTACTGTAGTTATTTTATATAAATAAATCCAAGTCCACAAACATCCTTATTTCACCTTTACTTACATTTCCCTGTTATATGTTCATATTTATGCATCTAAAATATCAAACATATTTTCTAATTGAACTTGCGCAAACCAATTGTCTATATACACCAAAATTAACCATTGTTGTTCTCCACTTAAAAAAATACACTTTAAATTTTAAAATTGAAGCATTTTTTTTAAATATTGTTTATTAAAAAATCAAGGCATAAAAACCTAATTTCATTTAAGTATTAAATTCTGTTAAAAGTAATAGATTATAATTAAAATGTCTGTGGACCTTTACTGGTTGATGATTTTCTTCAAGCTGTAGTAAGGTTCAGCCCTAGGTGGCAAATCTAACACAACAGCTCCATCTAGTGGTGGTGGGGATACACTGCTTCCACATATGACAGCTTTTTTTTGTTTGAACCTTTAACAGCCTGTAGAACCAGAACCAAATTGTTTGATCCGCTCCTGTTTTATCACTGACTGCTTTACATGTTGCTTTGATCTTTATTTCTTAGTTTGATTTATTCCAATCTTTTTTTTAATCTATCAGCTTTATTCTTCAAAGTGCTGCGATAATAACAGGAAATCATTCCTGAAGGGTAAAAACACAGAAGGGGGGTTTCCACTGTTGCATCAGAAGCTCAGTTTTACTTTTAAATAAACAAAGAGCGATTTACGATTCAGCTGTTTTTGTTTTTTTTTTAATTAACCCGTTTATTTAATGAATGTTAACATTTTAAAACTCTTTGGAATGACAGAAAGTTAAAGATGATGCATCTATAAGAGGATCTGTTTGCTTCATTTCTCCCAGATTCTCCGAATAAACTCAGACAAAATCAAACAAACTTACCTTCTGTGGAGGAAACCAGCAGGGAGACAAAGGAGAGAAAGAAAAACATCTCTGGAAAAACTTTTACTCAGCGATATGAGTGCATGCTGCAGAGGAGCTGCTGTAACTCCAGGAGTCATGTGAGCGAGTTTGATGGGGGCGGGGCTTTATGGCATCACCTTCCGGAACGCGTTCCTCACTGACAAACCCTGATTGGACGGGTAAAAACGTGTGCTTTTTAAAGAGCTGACGTCATATGCGCTGTGCCGTGATTGGTTCATAGATTACAGTAGACCCCGCATTGATTGTCGCTGCGCAGGAATTACGGGCGCCATCTTGGGGAGGTCGAGCCGCTATCCTAACCAGCAGGAAAAGGATAACTCAGCACTGCTAACCGTTAACATCAGGGCTCAAGGGATAACTTTGTGTAGTCATCAAAGCTTTTTATATATATATATATAAATCACTCTATATATATATATATATATATATATATATATATATATATATATATATATATATATATATATATATATATATATATATATATATAGATAGATAGATAGATGATAGATAGATAGATAGATAGATAGATAGATTGACAATAAAGCCGACTTGACTTGAAAGATTTGTTTGTTAAAAAAAACAAAAACAAACAAAAAACCTCGTGAAAATGAGTTCAATATTGGCTGAGTTAAAGTTGATAACCCAACTTAAACTCAGCTGAGCTGTCGACCGCCCCAAGATGGCGCCACCAAATCACGCCAGTGTCCATCTACTGTTACTATTATGTCTATGATTAGCATAGCCATGGTCAATAGATGAAAGTAGCACAAAGTAAAATATCTGGACCTGCAGACTCGATACATTTCCTGACAAATAAGCAAACATCTGTACCTGGAGTCTATTTATTACCTAAGAAACACATTTATTGACCTTCTTATTGACAGGACGCTTCAGGGAATCCCCTGAAGGCTCGTCAGCAACTGACCAATCAGCGATCCCGGCTCAAACAGCCCTCCCTCCCTCCTTGTCTGTCAACTTCCTGGTTGTTGTGCTTTAAAAAAAAGAGAAACCATATCGGACATTTAATCAAAACATTAATCTAATAAAAGTTTAAATGTTTTAACGGTTCTGACAAACTTAATCTAAAGCATTTTGTTGGCGCTGTCATCATAAGGGCAGGGAACAGTCGGAGAATAACAGCACAAGACTACACCAAGTTGTTTCCTTGGGCGACACGTCACACGCCACCACTTTATTTTTCCTTCATTCACCAACATTGCACATGCTCCACAATTTATAGTCACACCCATTAATGACGTCATTGAAGAGCACTCATTAGAATACACATTACAACACCCCCACTTGCTCTTGCACTATACAATCGTCATTCCAATTTTTTTTTTTTTTTTTTTTTTTTTGAACATTTAAAACAAGTTATTTTACATTCCAAACATATAATGCATAAATTTTCCCAGTTTTGGCTTTGTGGCAGGTTTGGTAAAAACGTCCGCAACCATATCTGCTGTTGAGCAGTATACAATGTTTATTTTTCCATCATAAAATGCAGATCTGACAAAATGATACTTGATATCAACATGTTTACATCTCTGACGAAATACTGGGTTCTTTGACAAAGCTATTGCTCCTTGATTGTCCTCAAATATTGTAACTGGCATATACATGCAGTCTTTGTCCATTCCACCCAACAACTGTACAAGATACAAACTTTCCTGTGTTGTCGCTGCCAATGCCATATACTCTGCTTCGCATGTAGACAGAGCCACCGTTTGTTGTTTCTTTGACTTCCATGAGATAACTGGTCCATTTTTATTAAGGCTAAAACAATAACCCGTAACGCTTCTCCTGTCACTCTGATCAGTAGCCCAGTCTGCATCGCTATATGCTACGAGCTGAAGTTTCTGCTCGCTCCTCTTAAAGCATAAACTCTTGTCTATTGTCCCTTTTAAGTATCTCAACACATGTTTTGCTGTTACCAAGTTACACTCCCTTGGTTGTGACAAATATTGTGAGAGTTTACTTACAACCCAACTAATATCAGGTCTTGTGCACATCATGAGATATATTAGGCTTCCTATAAGCTCACGATACAATCTTGGGTCTACAAGTTTGCTTTCACTTTCAAAGTTTAACTTCTGTTCACATGGAGTGCATCTAGTACCACATTCAGACATACCAAATTTCTCCAGTATTTTAGTTATGTGCCTTTTCTGGCTAACTTTTATTTCTCCCTCTGTCTGTGTAAAATCAATGCCCAAAAAATGTTTAAGCGGCCCCATATCTCTCATCTTAAACTTTGCTTTCAGCATGTCTTTAACACTGTCCATTAGAGAATCCTCACTTGTTGCTATAATAAGATCATCAACCCAAATGACTAGAATCACTCTATTATTTGCTGTATGTTTTGTATAAACACAGTGATCTGCTTCATTTGGTACAAAACCGTTTTCAGACAAATAATCAGATAACATCTTATTCCAGTTGCGTCCAGATTGTTTTAAACCATACAACGATTTGTTAAGTTTAAGAAACTGTTTTTCACCAAATTCTGAGTCAACCATAAAACCTTCAGGCTGTTCTATATACACCTCACAATCAATAGGAGCGTGTAGATAGGCTGTTTTAACATCCATCTGATGTAATTTCAGATTATACTGAGCTGCCATCTGCATCAAGCTGCGTATAGACGTCATGCTAGCTGTTGGTGCAAATGTCTCCCCATAATCTATACCAGCTTCCTGGCTGTAGCCTTTTGCCACATATCTGGCTTTAAAAGTCTCAGCTCCATCTGCATTCTCCTTGATGGTATAAACCCATCTACCCCCCACTGCATTTTTACCTTCTGGCAGCGTGGTCAGAGTAAATGTGTTATTTTCCTTCAAGGATTCAACCTCTTCCTCCATAGCTTCTATCCACTTCTCAGATTCAGGTGAAGTCAGGGCCTCTTTAAAACTTTGTGGTGTATTACACACTAAACGATAGCAATAATCAACATTGTCAAAATTTTCCGTGGCAAAATCATCACTCTCTGCCTTACATTCGTAGTCCTTTAAATACAGAGGCACTTTTTTCTCTCTTTTGGAGCGTCGTAGACAATGTTCTTCATCTTGCCTGAGATTTGTGTTCCCCACACTTGAAGGTTCAGCACGCATCTCTTTTGTTCCTTCTGACACCTGCTGTTCTACTTTTAACTCTGACTTAACAGGAACAGTTTTTCTGTAATACTCATCCTCCAACTCCTCTGGTTCAGTCTGAGTTTGGCATTCATTTTCAGGTTTAGTTAGAAATCTGACTAACCTGTGTTTACACACCCTTCCTGTCACTGGATTATAAATCAAATATGATGGGCTGTTTTTATCATAACCAACAAAAACTCCTTCATCACACCTTGGGTCTAACTTTTTCTTATTTTGTTTGTAAGAGTAGCACACTGTTCCAAACTCCTTCATTTTAGAAAGATCAGGTTTCTTGCCTGTCAACATGTAGTACGGCGTTTGCCCCAGACGATTATTAAAACACCTGTTGCGTATAACTGCAGAAGTCATCACAGCATAAGTCCATAATTCTTTAGGCAAATTACTCTGAATCAGCAAACACCTGGCCATCTCAAACAGTGTTCTCCAGCTTCTTTCAGCTGTCCCATTTTGATGGGGAGAATACGGCGCAGATGTTTCATGTCGAATAGCATTTTTACTCAATAAAGACTGATAATCTCTTGACATGAACTCAGTGCCGTTATCTGATCTAATGCACTTTACTTTTCCATAGGGGGCTACATCTGCAATAAACCTTTCAGTAGCTCTGACTGTGTCACTTTTAGCTTTTAGAAAATAGACAAATATTGCACTTGAAAAATCGTCCGTAAATGCAAGTGAATACCTAAATCCTTCTTTTGCAGCAGGCTCAATAGGGCCAGCTAGATCCGTGTGCACTAGCTCAAGGGCCGTTTTAGCTTTTGCATCAGCTTGTCTATTTCTACTCTGGGTAAATTTCCCTTTAATACACGTTTCACAGTCTAGTTTAGTTTTATCAACCTTCCCTTTGATTTTCATACCTTTCACAACATTTTCTAGTTTTAATACATCTTGAAAATTACAGTGACCTAAAATCCTGTGCCACTCTTGAATGTCATAGCAACCCAAAACTTTATCGTCCTCTTTGTCAGCAAAGTCATTTTCATCGAGAACATCAAGGAAATAAAGTCTATTGTACACGTTAATGTCAAACCTGGTTCCATCCTTGCAGATGAGTTGATCATGTCCTTGTTGAAAGTTGACTGAGGCTCCCTTTGCCGTCGCTGCTTTAACAGAGAAGATGCTCTGGGGGTAGGTGGGGATGTACAGCGCCCTCGTTATCGCCACCTTCACGTTCCGTCCCTCGGTGTCTCGCAGCCACACCTCTGCATCGCCTCTCTTCTGTGCCACGCCAGTTGTCCTCGTCCCATCAGCAAGCTCCACGAAGTGTTCCTCCGGTCGGAAGGCATCATCAAACTTTTTAAACTTGCTTAGATCATTAATTATGTGAGACGTTGCACCGGTGTCTACCATCAGTCCTCTTTGTTTCAAGCCGCTCATCTGGCTGTCGCTCATCTTGAAAACAAACGAGTGATCATCCCCTTCGATGGCCCGTTTCACACTTTCTTTCTTCTTTCTTCGACAGTTGCTCTCTTTATGACTGGAGTTTTTACAGAAACTGCACCATTGTCTCTGTGCTTTAAAGTTCGTCGGACATTGTCGCACTTTGTGTCCCTTCTGGCCACAGCTGTAACACGTAAACTCTGGGTTTGTTTTTTGTCTCTGCATCACTTTGCTTGAGAATCCACTGGCTGTCATCACATTATCTTCATCCATGTTAACTTTTAACTTTTCGGTGCTTTCATAATTTCTCAACTTAACTTTGAAGTCACCAAAGGTTAATTTGTCATCATCACTTTGAGTTATGTGAACAACAAATGGCTTAAATGGTTCAGGCAAACCTTTCAAAGTCATGGCTATCAACAGTCCATCACTCAGCGTCTCTCCAGCATTTCTTAGCGCTGTAATGGCAGTTTCAGCCCGAATAATATAGTCTGTGACAGTCTCGCTGGCAGCTTTCTGGAGGGATGTCAGTTCTGTGTAGAGGCTAATTACCCGCGGCTTTCCTTTGCCCGCATAATGATCTCGCAGGATCTGCAACGCCCTCCTGCCGTCATCTGCCGCCTCTCTCATAACTAGAGACAAGCTCTTGTCATCTAGACACTGGATCAGCTCGGCGTAGGCTTCCTCGTTTTTATCAGAGTCGTCATCTTCATCTTCATCTGCATTCGGCTCCACCTTACGCAGTATTGTTTCTTTCAAGCCGTGCAGCCGGAGATGTCCCAGAAACTTTGCCTCCCACAGCTCATAATTTCTTTCATCTCCATCAAAGCACAATCTTTGCCATCGACTTCCCATCTCCCTCCTGGGCCCATAACCTGTTGGCGCTGTCATCATAAGGGCAGGGAACAGTCGGAGAATAACAGCACAAGACTACACCAAGTTGTTTCCTTGGGCGACACGTCACACGCCACCACTTTATTTTTCCTTCATTCACCAACATTGCACATGCTCCACAATTTATAGTCACACCCATTAATGACGTCATTGAAGAGCACTCATTAGAATACACATTACAACACATTTAGAGGGAAGAACATAAAAAAAAATGAAAGGGATTCTTGGAGAAGTAAAAGCTGGACAGGTTGCTGAGTCACGCTGCAGGGCTGGGTATTCCAGCCCTGCAGCGGCTCCTGGCTCTCAGTCGATCCGATTCAGGAGCTCAGAGTTCGGCCAGCAGCTCTTTGCTGCTCCCTCCTCTCACAGACGGTGGGTCTCTTAGGGACCGTCAACAAATTACCCAAACAAGCACTCTTAAGAAAAATAAATACTTTCATTGTCTTCTGGTCAGCTGGAGCAAAACCAGTAGTAATCCCTCTACATTTTAATTTATTTTAAGTAATTTTCATCATTATGAAAGATTTTTTATTCAAATTTTGCGTTTTTCATCAGTACCTTTTAGGTCATGTGACCTAATGAGTGAAAACTATTCTACTGTACTGGGCAGATGAGGCAGGCTGATTTCTGAATCTTTTTAAAATATTCTTAGGATATTTTTTAGTTTTAAAGCCAACATTTAGCGTTTTTCTCCAGTAGCTTCTTGGTCATGTGACCTACTGATTAAAAACTTGTGAATAAAATGTTCTACTAGACAGAACAGATGAAGCACACCCTTAATACTGTCAGAAAAAGTTCAGTCTTATGTTTGTTTAGCAATATTCTTGCATATTACACTTCCCTCTCCTTTTTACACAGTAATGGACTTTTACTTTCTGGTCAAATGAGTTTACCTGATTTTTTACACTAAGTAGCAGAAAGCAAATGATGAAGAAATGTGTTCAGGGCTTCTTATATTCTAACATTTCCCTTAAACTCTGTCAGTTATCCAGATTCATTGACATTTTAGATTATAAAAAGCAGAATTACATTTACTGGTGTCGGTGCAACACTAGCTATCATTGTCCAAAGCACAATATTGAATTTAGAACAACGCTTCAAAGAATTACAACCACATGCTGCTCTGGACAAAAAGTGCCCTCCTGAAATCCATTTCAGTTTTTTTTATTTTGTTAGCATTTGGCCCAAAATAGCACTTTACAATTTTAAAAACTTTACCAAAGCCAGACTATATTTTTGTAATTTTGCTCCATCGCTCTCAGAAGCTCCGCCTCCATAGATTGTTGCAGTGGTGAAGGACCAGCTAACTGTCCAGGTTACTAAACAATCGCATTTACCTCCATCTTTAATGGCGTCTACCAGGTGCCAAGGAACAGTTTAAAATGCAACTATTTGATTAAATTAGAACATTTAGATGTAATTATTGATTTGCTTTTTTACAGCAAATCTAAAAAGACATAAATCAAACACATGTCATCATGACATGTGTTTGATTCATGTCTTTTTAATGACAACCACAGCACACAGGTTACATTTACTCTATTAAAAATTTCATATAAAAGCAAACATAAGGCCAAATAATTACAATTCATAAGTTTATCACCTTAAAATAACATTATTACACATTATGCACTTGAAATGAGATAGCAGAGTTGTTTGTTTTTCATATTTTTAAATGTAAATCTTAGTTCATCTGCAAATTTTCATATAAACACACTCAGATCAGGACAAAATAAACGTAAAGATATTCTGGAATCCTGGGCTTTAGACTTCTGTATTTCTATGAACCTTAGAAAACTGCCTGAAGAATTTTGAGTTCAAGCAATAAGGCAATAATGACCCTGGATCTCAGAACTGTCCTGTTCTGAACTGTTTCCCTGACCTGGATCGGCCTCCTGCCTGCTGCTGCATCGGGGACACTCTGGGCGGCTCAGCGCTGCATCTCGTTGGCCGTCCATCGGCTGAATCCTGCCTCACCAGAGATTGACTCATATGGATAATCATCATTAGTCAGATTTTCCTGCTCACTTTCCTGTGTTTCTTCCACAACCAGAGTGCCAGTGATGGGTGTTACCCCGCCTGCCCCCGCAGTCGCAGCATTTCTGCAGATCCACAGCAGCCCGCGTTCTGTTTCAGTTCTGTCTTTTTGTCATTAAATGTTTTGGAAAAGTTCCTCTGTCTGTCTTGCCTGAATACCCCGTTTCATGACACACCCTTTTAATACAACAGCATGACATAGCAATGATGTACAGATTTCTCCTTATCTTACATCTTTATTTAATTTTTTATTTTTTTTTAACAGTGTCCTGTCTGCCAATGTAGCAATAAGAATAATTGTCTTGATGCCAAAAAGAGCCCAACAGATTTAACTTTTACAAGTGGAGCAGTACTGCTATCGCCATTTTGTTCCGCTTGATTCATGCATATAAATTGCTTTATTATAAATCATGCAGGGAGTTTTACAGATTATATGGACACTGCAATGTAAGTAGAACAGGAAAGGAAAAACAGAAAAGAAGGAGAAAGATCAAAGAAATAGGTGATGAAAGGGTAGATAACAATAAAACATCTTCAGTCTGCTTCATCACCTGCAAAGAGATGTAAAAAGAACAGCACAACTAACAGACATAGTATAAGAGATACAATAAAGTAACCAGGGCAACATTAACAGGAGGTTTAATGTAGAAGGAATTTCATGCCTTGAGATGCAAATACCGAGACCTGAAAAGGACATAATATTAAGAGACACCCATCGGAGTTACAGTTCATTCTTTTTTACAAACATTTCCTAATCATATTATAACCCCAGATAAACAGGAACCAGAATAATTTCCTCCATCATTTCAGCTTTTCTAGAATAATAACATCAACATTTGTTGGTTTCTGTTCAGTTTTATCAGCAACTATTTAAACATCAGAATAAGTTGTGGAAAAACGTCTTCAGTATTGATCAGTACCATATTTTCACGACCATAAGGTTCACCGTACTAAAAGGCGCAGTCTCAGTTATGTGTGCCATTACTGTATTTAACACACACATAAGGCGCACCGGATTATAGGGCGCGGGTTTTATATACCGGTACACATCCTCTACTACGTTTAAATACATCTACTGCGTATTTAAAAATAGAGCGGGAGCAAAACTGAGTATGATTGTGCTTTATTCATGTATTTATTACAAAGTATTAATCAAACCCACATCGCTGATGACACAGAGCGCTGTGATCACTCCTCTGAAACAGTTTATTGACGCATAAATTAACTTAAAATGCAGAAATCTGCTGGCAGAATATGTTCACTTTTATTATCCTGGTGCCTGCAGTTTGGATTATTTAGATGAAAAACACCTACCAGCTGCCGCGGTGAACCGCCAGGAGGCGACCCGGCCAGAGGCTGCTGTTGAATGGGATTCCTACTGACAGCGCACCGCTGGTATGTGGGGGTCTGAGAACGACAGAACTAATATTAGAAGGCAGGATGGTAATCTGGATGAACTGACTGCAGTGATTAAGTTTTCAGGTGGACTTTCTCACTTAAAAACATATTAAAACTACTATATTCCCACTGATCACGGCAAATATAGCTGCAAGGCAAAGAAAGGATAGTGAAGCTCCGCCCAACGCACGTCAGACACACTTTTGCACCGCGCAGGGAAAAAAAAGACGTTTATATGCGCCTTATAGTTGTGAAAATACAGTATACTGATATCAGCAAATAAATCAGTAATGACTTGCCATAGAAACAGGTCTCACTGATTTGGGGAAGGAATCTCATAGTCTTCAGTCTCAATGATGCCTTGTTTGTAACGGTAGATGGTGGAACATTTGCCCTTGTGTTTGTCATCGGTTAAAGCCACAGTCAGGAACTTCATGTTCTTCCTCTCCTTGTTGGCTTCTGCGTAATCACTGAAGAGCTTTGCTTTTTTCTTCATATCATCTACTTCCTCTTTTGAGTCCAACCATTGCTCCCTCTCTTTATCAGCTGAGCAGTCGAGCTTTGTTCCTTTCAGGTAGTTCTCTAAAGCTGAGACAAAGGGTTCATCATCTTCCACTGAGGTGAAGACAAAACACAAAACCTCCTCTGTTCTAAGAACTTCTTCATAGAGTTGATTTGGAGATGGAAGGTGCTTTGTGCTCTTCATCGTGGACATCAAAGCTTTTAGGAAGCAGATTTCTTTCTCCTTCCAGTCCATCCACTGGTTCAGGCGTTGGTTGCTGAAAGGAGAAGACTGTCTCTTCCTAAAGATCTTTTCAAGCTCATCCTCCTCACATTCTCCGCCTCGGATCAAAGGAAGCTTCATTGCCAGATCTTGCTGGAGCATCACTTTTAGATATGAGCCCATTTCTTTAAATCTCTTCAGGTTTTGTCCATTCTTGGGGAACTTGTCAGCAGTAGCTCTGATTGCATCATTGCATCTGACTTCCAGCAGGCTGAGGTCGTCCAGGATCCTCTGCGTCTCTTGAACCAACCCAACACTTATCTGTTTGACCATTCTGGCAGCTGAAGGGTTTAAAATAGTCAGAGGCAACATCCAGACCTTCAAAGGAACAGCCTGTTCTCCATTGGCTCCCAGTAGATTCGGTAGAGTCTGATACAGCTGAATAGCTTCCTGAAAGGTTAAAGGGGTTTTCTGCAATATGAAATCTCCATAAAATTTACAGGAAAATTTATTCTCAGTTTTTCTGTTGATGTCATTTTTTGTTAAAGAAGCCTCTCCATCTACATTGACGTTAGATATTTCCTTGATGGCTAATTTGAATTCTCCCTGAATGGCTTCTATATTTTCATCTTTGGAGACCTCACGATCAAACACAAAGAAGGCTTGGGCTCCATAGAGGATGGCTGTCACCACATGTGTTGCTAAGCCTTGTTCAACCACTTCTGTGAGCATGATATTTTCTCCAAGATTGTTTATAGAGAGCTCCCTGACCTTTGTGTTGGCCAAATACTGCAGTGTTACTCTAGCCTGATTTCTAGAAGTCTTGTTATCCTTCAGATAATTACCAGACCCTCCAACATCAAACATTCCGGCTGAATAGCTTAACTTCAGCGACCCTCCAACATCTAGTACTGAGTATTTTTTCTCATCTGTTTCAGATGTATTTATTTCAAAGTTATTGTAGTTCTGTTGCCTCTCGTTTACATTTTTCAACAGGTCATCGTTGTTCCACAAGGTGATCCCTGAAAATGAGAAAAAAAGCAAAGATCAAATCCTTGAACATTCTAAATCCTAAAGTATACATTTTCCATTGCCTCTGCACACAACTACAAAACCAAAAAATGATATTGTCTTTGATACTTTAATTATACTATATCAAAATTAATGAAATAAGCCTCAACACGGATCCCTGTGAGACTCCACAGATAACGTCCAACATTCAGACTATTTTGACCTATGATTACCAATCTTTACTATCGTCGATCAACACGTGTAACTTATTCTCTGTCTTTCTCTTCAGCTTTTACTCAAAAATGACCAATGGGAATTAAGCTGGTTGATGATTCTTACCCCAGTAAAGCATGGGGGCCTCTGTGGAGCCAGTTTTTCAGGTTAATGTTGTGATCTAAGTGTACATAGCCCATCCACACCCAGGTACTCTGGATGTGTGGTAAGAAAAATTCCAGTCACCATTTCTGTTAACCACATGTTTAAGTGTACTATAGGGCATGATTTAGACAAATGAGTGTATATTCTTTATGTTTTGGCACTTCAACCCAAAAATATCCTCCATGGATCCATCTTCTCAAACAATCTCAGCAGAGCAGCAGTGGTGCATAATTGTGACATCTCTACTGATAACTTGGGAATTTTTAAAAGAGAGGCCAGACATATATGGCCGCTACATTTCCAGCCTCCCTGGTTGAAGGAAGGCTGTCCTCAGCTGAACACAGCAACGGTCCAGTCCAACATAAAGCCAAACAGGGAACATAAAGTGTAATTTTATAAGAGCAACAAAGTGGTGTCATTTTCCAACAAAGTTAACATAAATACTTTTTATTTTCAGGAAAATTACAAAATGAATTTCCCCTTTTTTAGCCAGCATATTATGTGAGAACCTTATGAACATGACTTAAGCAGTCTCGCCAATAATGAACAGAAGATAAAATCTAAATGAATTCATTTCAGGTCAAACTTGTCCGTATCAAAAGGGTTTGTCCAATTATTGACTGACCTGTCTGTGATCAGCATAAATGGTCACATGCCAACCCTAAACACAGGGTCGGTAATGCCCTAAGTCGCATTTCCTGTCTGTGCCTGACTTTTATCTGACCCAGATTATGTTATACATTATGAAATAATCCACATTGCTGCTGTGTTTTACTAAATAAGTATAAGATCTGACTAGTTAACCTCTATAGCAACTCAGCGGCTGACTGCTTTAAAAGTCAAAATGGCTCAAAGGGGATAACTACAGTTTTTCAGTTAACACCTTTGAGAGATTTAAATTTGTAAGTTGGAGATATAATTATATTAATGGGAACAAGAACCAAAAGGTGCGTGAAAGAGAATTGGCCTACAAACCTGACTGAGATACATCAGTTTTGTCACCAGTACAATACATATAATTGTTAATATTACTCTAAATAGGGTGTCCTGATGCCAGCTCGTTGTTTTACCATGCAAGAAGCGTTACCACTCTTTTGGTCAATGGAAGTACATCACAATGATTTCATCAACGTATTATTCTGTGCTATTAAGGACGTGTCTTCTTGAACTTGACTATCCTTATAAAATAAAAGAATGTTTCTGTTTTGCATGTTCTCTAATAATGTTCCCCATAAAGCATCATTGTGTGTTTTCAAACAGAAGCTTGTTTCTTGATTTAAACATTTGCTGCAGAAAGTTGCGAATTCTCACCCGGAATGAGTAAATCCCTGCGGCAGTCATACAGCATCCCAAGGCCGAAAGGTCGGCCAAGCGCGGCCACTTCCACAGCTCTGCTAGATTCTGCTTCCATCGCTTGGTTTCCTTCAGAGGCAATATGAAACAGGATGAGGTTATGGTTCAGATTCACACACTTTCTGGGCATTTCATTAAAAAGTCACGAAATCTAAAATGATGCAAAGGTGGAAACCTGGGGTCCAAACACTGGTGTCTGTGCACCCAGGACTCTTTCATCACTAGAAAGAATGCTGCTGCCAGTGTTCTCACTAGAACTAAGAAAGTAGAGCACATCAGCCCGGTTCGAACGTCCTTCCACTGGCTCCCTGAAGCTCAGAAAATAGACCTTAAAATGCTTCTGTTAGTCTAGAAAATCAAGCCTTAACAGATCTGTTGTCAGTGGTTCTACCTCCCAGACCAATCAGGTCTTCTAGTTCCAGCCTACTCTGTTCAACCAGAACTAGAACCAAACGCGAGAAGCAGCATCTATGCTCCATGGATCTAGCTCAAACTCCCAGAAGACCGGAAAAGAGCTGAAAGCCTGAGTTCTTTAAAGTCACAGTTAGTCTTTAGTTTAGATCTGCCTTTAATTGTCGGAGTTACTGTTAACTGTTAACTGACATTCAGAATGCCCAAGATTATTTCCATTAAGTTGGTTAATAATCTTAAAATGACAACAAACGTCTTATTAATCTTTAAAAAAATCTGACTAATATTTATTTAAAAATAGCTTTTAGTTGCAAATATTCCCTTAGATGTTAAAACAAACAGAAGCTAAATTATTGATCATGTCTGTGAAGATTCTCAGTGATCCGGGTCATGGTAAAGCTTGAAAAAGTTCGATACAGGCAACAGGATGGAAGTTTTCTAAAGACGTTTCGCCTTTTGATTAAATATTAATTTAGAGATTAGGAAGTATCTGTTTGGGGTTTGTGGATCATTTACAGGGATTTTTCTGCTTATCAAAATCAAACAGCACAGGAGCTGGATCGTCACCACATTTCCACTTTTTTGTTTAAAACATGCAGCAATGAATTATGGGTAAATAACTTCACCAAAGTCCTCTATTTTTGACAAAGAGCTCAGAGAGTTCCTGTTGATCAGTAAAGCAGTTTCCTGCCGGCAGCTTTTAGACGAGGTGATGAATAGACATTAAAAAATAAAAAACAAAATTCAAAGATTGTTTCTCAGTCTTTAAAACAAAGACTGAGAAACAATCATTTCATCTTGTGAGAAAAATAAATTACGGAAACTAAAATTCAAATCATCCAAGAAAAAAAAGCTAAAATGTATAATAAATACAATAAAACAACAAAACATTAATATATACTGTATTTGAATAATTATAAACTTCAGCCAAAAGCCAGACTGAATGGTTTATCTTTTGTTGGGTGATTAAAATGAGTGACATGTGGATAATTCTTTTTAACAATTGAATTACAAAAATTATGTTCAGATTAGGGACATCTTTGGGACTTTCTAATTGAAAAAAACCTGAAAAAATAGTAGTTTAACCTTCTGAAACTCAACACCCACAAAACCGAGCTCATGGTGGTGGCCCCAGCACCGCTGCTCAGGAAGGTTGGAGACCTCACCTTGGTCATTGATGGCTGTCCCACCTCCCCATCGCCCAAAGTGCGGAACCTGGGTGTCATTTTGGACTCCACACTCTCACTCAGTTTCCACATCCAGAGCATCACTAAATCTGCCTTCTTTCACCTCCGTAACATCTCAAGACTCCGGCCGTCACTTACCGACTCAGTCACCGAAACTCTCATTCATTCATTCGTCACCTCCCGTTTGGACTACTGCAATGGTGTCCTGTCTGGGCTGCCCAACAAAGCCCTAGACAGATTGCAGTACGTCCAGAACTCAGCTGCCAGATTGTTAACCCACACCAAGCCCTGGCAGCACATCACCCCCATCCTCAAGAAACTCCATTGGCTGCCAATCAAACAACGCATCAGCTACAAAATCCTCCTCCTCACTTACAAAGCATTTCATTCTCTGGCACCCAAGTACATCACTGACCTTCTTCACCCGCTCACTCAGTCACGGTCCCTGCGCTCCACCAGCAAGAACTTACTTACCATCCCCCGTACCAGACTCAAGACCTTTGGCGACAGGGCTTTCTGTGCAGTGGCCCCGGCTCTTTGGAATGCCCTCCCCCCTCCTATCCGTTCCGCAACTTCCCTGACACAGTTCCAAAAGCACCTTAAAACACACCTTTTCTCTCTTGCCTACCCTTCCTAACCCCCTCCCTGTCCCTACCCCCCTTACTTCACCTCTTGTAAAGCGACCTTGGGTGTCCTGAAAGGCGCTATATAAATCAAAGTTATTATTATTATTATTATTAAGGGATATCTGAGCAGATCACTTTTAAATGAGGAGACATCCATGGCTGATGCCAGGAGCCCAAACATGTCCCCAACAGGCAGGTATTATTATGGTTTATTAAAATCACACATAATCAATGATCATAACCCTAACAGAAACGAACCTAATTTCCCCTTAAAAATACAATAATATACAGTTTTAACCTGTAAGACAGCACAGCGAGGTAAGGTCAAATAAACTTACAGTCTGTCTGCAGCAGGAGAAGCTCTCAGTTTCCTTCTTTCAGTTTGCTCCCCTCTGTCTGGTCTCAGCAGAGAGCTGCATGCAGCATCAGGACGGGGAGGGGGCAGAGAAGACAGCTGATTTCCTCTAAGTCAGGCATTTCCATGAAATCACATGGCAGAAAACATGGCTACCTTTATTTATGCATTATGATAAATAGAACTGTAAATAATTATCTATGTGTGCATGCGAACAATCATATAAGGAGTTTTCTTTTCTTAAATATTTAGTCAACAAAGTTAAAATATTTCATTTGTGAAATATTTCATTTGTGAAAAAAAATATGTAAGGGACCATCTACATATTCAATTTGGAACTTTGATATTTATAAATCTATGATTAATATAGAGAAAATATGACCTGGAAAAAAAATAAACACCTTTTTATTTCTCAACACGCTAAATAACCAAAAATATTGCTTTCACTTTAATAACAGAGCCTCATAGAAACATTGTTATAGCATAGTACATTTTTTAAGTGCTTTGTTTCAGGTTTGAGCTGATTATATCTCATGAACTGTTTAAGAAATTACAGTTTTTATTTGAACAAATCTCTATTTGCCACCAATTGACTCCTAAGCCAAACAATGATGATGGAGACAATGTGTTCCTGTCATGATCTTGGGGCTGATAGTTGGCATTATCGACAGGCAGACGAGTTTGCTGCGTTAGTGAGGTTCCAGAGGGAGAACAGGGACGCCAGTCTCATGGTCTTCAGCGAGACATGGCTTGTGGAGCAGATTCCAGACAGCACGGTCGCTGTAGAGGGATTTAGCCTGATCCGCGCGGACAGCGGGAAGAAGAAAGGGGGAGGACTGGCGGTGATGGTGAACGAGAGATGGTGTAAATCAGAACACTGCACCATTAAGGAGCGGATCTGTAACAGAGACATCGAACTGCTGGCGGTCAGTATGAGGCCTTACTACCTGCTACGTGAGTTTAACCACGTCGTCGCCATAGCAACGTATATTGCACCGACTGCTAACACCAGTTCCGCCTGTGAGATCCTGAGCTCCACACTCTCTAAGCTCCAAACGCTGCACCCCCTGGCTCTCTTTCTCACAACTGGAGACTTCAACAGCGCAAAACCTTCATCTGTGCTCCCAACACATACACAGTATGTCACCTGCCCCACAAGAGGCAATAAAACCCTGGATTTATTTTTTGCCAACGTTAAGGAGGCCTACACTGTATCTGCTCTTCCACCTTTGGGCAGATCAGACCATAACATCATACACCTAAGGCCAGTCCCGCTGGTGCACAGGCAGCCTGTGGAGCCCCGTGTGGTGAGGAGGTGGACTGCAGAGAGCGAGGAGGCCCTCAGAGCCAGCTTCAGCACTACTGTGTGGAGTGAACTCTCTGACCCCCACGGACAGGACATCAACTCCATGACAGAGTGTATCACGGACTACATCAACTTCTGCTATGAAAACATTGTACCCACTCAAACGATACGGTGTTTTCCTAACAACAAGCCGTGGATCAACCGGGACATAAAGGCTCTGCTGAAGGAGAAGAAGAGAGCCTTTAGGTCAGGGAGTAAACAGGCTCTGAAGGAGGCACAGAGGAAGCTGAGGAGAAATATCAGGAGGGCCCAAGCTGCCTACAAGAAGCGGATAGAACAACAGCTCCAAAGGCATAACATCCGTGGGGTGTGGAATGCAATGAAGACTGTGTCTGGCTTCAACCCCCCCAGGACACAGACAGAGGGAAATATACAAAGAGCCAACAACCTCAACTCACACTTCCTGAGATTTGAGGCGACACCACCACATCCCCCCAACACTCCCCCTGCTCATCAGCAGCCTGTGCCTGAGCCCACCACCCCCACCTCTCACCTACCTCCTCCCCACACTTCGTCCAGGGAATCATCCTCCTCCATCTCTCTCACAACAGACCAGGTTAGAGAGCAACTCAGGCGCCTTAGACAGATGAAGGCAGCAGGACCAGACAACATCAGCCCGCGCCTCCTCAAGTCCTGTGCAGATGAGCTGTGTGGAGTCATACATCGAGTCTTCAACCTGAGTCTGGAGCAAAGTGTCGTCCCTGCGCTGTGGAAGACCTCATGTGTGGTTCCTGTGCCAAAAACACCACATGCCAGTGACCTCAAAAGCTTCAGACCAGTGGCCCTCACGTCTCATCTGATGAAGACCCTGGAGCGGCTCGTCCTCAGTCACCTCCGCACCACAGTAAGCTCTGCTATGGACCCCTTGCAGTTTGCTTACCGACCTGGCATTGGTGTGGAGGACGCCATCATCTCCATCCTGCATCGCTCTCTGTCCCACCTAGAGAGGCCCGGCAGCGCTGTGAGGATTCTCTTCTTTGACTTCTCCAGCGCCTTCAACACCATCCAGCCGAGGCTCCTGAGAGACAAGCTGGAGACTGCAGGAGTGGACTGTGACCTGGCCGACTGGATCCTGGACTATCTCACAAACCGGCCCCAGTTTGTGAATACGAGAGACTGTGTGTCTGACATCAGGACCTGCAGTGTGGGGGCCCCCCAGGGAACGGTCTTAGCGCCCTTCCTCTTCACCCTCTACACTGCAGACTTCAGACAAAACATGGACAGCTGCGTCCTGCAGAAGTTCTCCGATGACTCCGCCCTCATTGGCCTCATCACAGATGATTACGACGCGGAGTACAGAGGACTTATTCAGGACTTTGTGAACTGGTGTCAGCTGAACCACCTCCTCATAAACGCGGGAAAGACCAAGGAGATGGTGGTGGACTTCAGACGCCGTCCCACCGTCCCTCCCCCAGTGAACATCCAGGGAAAGGACATTGAGAGGGTGGACACTTACAAGTACCTGGGTGTTCATCTCAACAACAAACTGTACTGGACTCACAACACGGAGGCTCTGTAAAGGAAGGGCCAGAGCCGGCTCTACCTCCTGAGGAAGCTCAGGTCTTTTGGGGTGAGAGGGCCACTCCTGAAGACCTTCTACGACTCTGTGGTGGCATCAGCCATCCTGTACAGTGTGGCCTGCTGGGGCAACAGCATCACTGAGAGGGACAGGAAAATACTGGACAAGATCATCAAGAAGTCCAGCTCAGTCCTGGGCTGTCCTCTGGACTCTGTACAGCAGGTGGGGGACAGGAGGGCCCTGTCCAAACTCATGTCTATGCTGGACCATGAGGACCACCCCCTTAAGGACACTCTCTCTGCTCTGGAGAGCAGCTTCAGTGAAAGACTGATACACCCTTGCTGTACAAAGGAGAGATTCCGCAGATCCTTTCTTCCTGCTGCTGTCAGACTGTACAACCAACAATGCTTGTTCCGTATCAACCATATGTCCACCGTCACTTTACCTGTTATTATTGCATATCTATTGTATACTTCACTCATATTTATTTAACTCTGCAATAATTTATACAATCAATCATTTGCACAGAACTTTACTGTTGTCACTTTATACCAGTGTTTGTAACCTTAGCCTTAGCCATTTAACTGTTCACACCAAGTGTGATGGCCTTGTCTGTATATACTTAATATATATTTTTTATATATTTTTAATGTTTTTTTATATTTTGTATTCTTTCTTTTTTTCCTACTCTACTGTTCACTGTGATACAACGCTGCAATTTCCCCACTGTGTGACAAATAAAGGATTATCTTATCTTATCTTTATCATTTACTACTGTCACCTGTCTAATTCGCCCAGCGGCTCATTACGCTTGTCTTGTCCACCTGTTCCTGCTGCTACTTATGCTGCCTTTTTGCCTACCTTTGGTGCCAAATTATTTAAGCTGTTTTTTTTAGAGTAACTCTAGCTTTCTTTATATTTGTTCTGAGATTCTGATTCTGACCTGTTTCTGACTTCGAATAGTGTGGCTTAAACCTTTTTGTGCTCTGTCAGTATTGTTTATTCTGGACTGATTCCTGGATTCTGATGGTTAACCAAACTGGGCTGTGTTTCTGACTTGGATTATTCTCCAGTCTTCTGGTCTGTAAACCTGGTTCTGCTTTGACATCAGCTCTGGATATTCCCTCATGGACACCGTTACTCCTCTGCATCGACTGCCGTCATCTCCGCTGAGCACTCTGAACTCCGGGATGGCACCCTCCTCTAGCGGTGGACAATCTTCTTCTCTGATTCCTCTCCTTTCTCTGGGATCTAGCTGAACTCAGAACCAGGTCAGTGACTTTTGCTAGTAGTCATGATCAGCCCGTTATTCTAAGTCACTGACCTGAGTTTCTATCCCTACAGAGGATCCGGTTTATCCGCCCCAGCTGACGAGCAGCCGAACACTGTACAGTGTTAAATAAAGACTTGTTTGAAAACGGTCTGATCTGTCTGCTTTGAATGTTAGGTCCAAGGTTCAGAGGTCCTGACAGTTACTGGAGGCTACACAGTAAATTCCACAGTGTTAAATATATAGTGTCTAAGAAAATTGACCATTTTAGAGTTATTACAACAACAACTGGAGTAAAATATACACGTACGTGTTCTAATTTAACCCTAATTACGAATGGGACCAAATGCACTATTAAAGTGTTACTTTAACACTGCAGAATTTAGTGTGATACCTGGAATGATAGAGAAACAAAAAAACATGCAGTGTGAGGTAGTTTGGTCGAGGATCAATAAGGTGAACCAAAAAAAAAAAACAGCTTCAGCCACCGGTTCCAGTGTCTCTGTTGTCTTTTATTCCATTTCACTCTGACAAAACACTTTCCTTGAGCTTCCAAGAGCTCAGTGCTTATACAGGTGCTGGTCATAAAATTAGAATATCATGAAAAAGTAGATTGATTTCAGTAATTCCATTTAAAAAGTGAAACTTGTATATTATATTCATACATTACATACAAACTCATATATTTCAGATGTTTATTTTGTTTAATTTTGATGATTACAAATGACAACAAATGAAAATCTCAAATTCATCATATCAGAAAATTAGAATATTACTGAAGACCAATAAAAACAAAGGATTTATAGAAATGTTGGCCAACTGAAAAGTATGAACATGAAAAGTATGAGCATGTACAGCACTCAGTATTTAGTTGGGCCTCCTTTGGCCTGTATTACTGCAGCAA